GTAAAATTTAACTGGATGCCTGTTTCCCACTATATGCTGCTTTTTCCATCCTAGGAAGCAGACGTCAATCAATTCTCAACATCTAGCATTTGCCACAAACTTTGGTTTCATAATAGGTCAACAAGTATGTTGACCTCTATAACCTTGCTAAGAATTTTAGGGAAAGGACGAGATTCCCAGTTTGACTTTTGACCTCAGGTGATCCACCTGCCCTCACCTCTCAGTGCGCTGGGATTATAGGTGTGAGTCACTGGGCCCCGACCTCTTTTTCCTACTTCTTATGAGATAGAAACTCTTTTGAAGTAAAAACTTATGATAACAAAGAAGAAAAGTAACATATATACTAATTTTTATGCAAATAACCTACACGTCTTTGCTTCTTATGAATGTACATGAACCAGTGCAGCAAAATTCCAAATCTTTCATTTTTCCCCAACCAACAGATGTCCCTTACGTATCATCTGTCACACAGGCTTCAGCCTGAGAAAAAATTCCAGTTCTCGTGTCTCGCAGTTTCTGTATGCTATTGTCAACCAGTACTGTCTGCTGTCTTATGAGTTCTGATGCATCTACACTCCTACTGGATCCATGGTCCCTGGGAAAACACAAATGGAGTTGGAATGTGAGCATGTCAGAGGAGCTCAATGGTGGGACAATCTTCTCACTGTGATGTAGCAAAAGTAGTCCAATCCTTAGAGATGTCCACCCTTAGACATGCGCATCCATAGAGATGCCATCCTTAGAGATACTATTCTTAGAGATGCCATCCTTAGAGAAGCCTTAGAGATGCCTATTCTTAAAGACACCTTCTTTGATGCCCATCCTATAATAAAATGCCATTCCTCCACATTTTTACTGAATTAACTGCATCTCTGTTTCCACACAGTAGACAATGATCTTATCTCAGGAGGCATGCCTCCTTTGATTCTCAATCCCTGATGTTCATCACAGTCTGTCACACTTGGCGATGCTCACTACTGACTTCTGAAAGGATACTGTGTTTTTGTAAACTATGGAGCATAAGAAGGGCCCTACTCTTCTATCCTTCGTTGGTCCTAAACAGGAGGGAATGTTAACCTGATGAAGTTGTTTGCACAACCCTGGATGGACTGAGTTTATTTGAAGGTAGGATCTCTTTATTTAGGGCAAGCGTGTCAAGGATGATGGACACCAGAGAAATCTGCATTCAGTGCCTTTCACAGACATCACTCAGCAGTGACAGACCTGTCAAAATTGTTGCTTAACCTCTCCGAGTATCAGCTTTCTAACTTGTAAAATAAGGATACAGTACTCTCATCACAAATCCTTGTGGTGATTAATCATAGAAGGCTAAAATTACTTAGCACAAGAGCTAGGAAACACTGGGTTCCCAAAGCAAACAATTCATCCTAGTCCGTGGTCTTTTATGCATGCCAGAGCATGTCTCACTCATTTCAGACTTTTTTTTCTTTTTTCTTTTTGAGTTTCACTGTTGTCGCCCAGGCTGGAGTGTGATGGCGTGATCTTGGCTCACTGCAACTTCCACCTCCCAGGTTCAAGCGATTCTCCTGCCTCAGCCTCCCGAGTAGCTGGGATTACAAGTGCCTGCCACCATGCCTGGCTAATTTGTGCATTTTTAGTAGAGATGGGGTTTCACCATGTTGGCCAGGTTGGTCTCGAACTCCTGACCTCAGGAGATCTGCCCGCCTCCACCTCCCAAAGTGCTGGGATTACAGGCGAGAGCCACCATGCCGGCCAAGGCTGCTCTTTTTAAAAAGTATGGACTGAGAAGGTTGTAAACAATGTAAATGTATTTGTCACAGCTCTGGATGCTGGAACGTCCAGGATCAAAGTGCTGGCAGACTCCGTGTCTGCTCCTGATTCATAGAGGGCAGACTTCTTGTTCTGTCCAAGCATGGGGAAAGAGAAAGGAGCTCTCCAGGGTCTCCTTCATGAGGGAACTAATTCCATTCATGAGGGAACTAATTCCATTCATGAGGGAACTAATTCCATTCATGAGGGAACTAATTCCATTCATGAGGGAACTAATTCCATTCATGAGGGGCTCTCCTTTATCACCTGACACCTCTCAAAGGCCCCATCTCCTAATAACATCACATTGGAAGTTAGGATTTCAACATACGAATATTGGAGGAACACAAACATTCATTCTACAGCAGTATCTGAATTGCATACACAGAAATATTTGGTCAGATTAATTTGTTTTGAGTTCCAAGACCATGTAAAACAGTGCATTCGTTTTCTACAAATGAGAGATAAGCCGCGTGCTGATGAGGAGCCACTGAAATGCACAGCGGGAGGGCTTAGTAAGTCAGGCTGCATGGTTCTGCTCTGATCTGGGTGCCATGCTGTGGCATTGTCAAGAGCATGGTCAAGGCCATAGGCCCATGCATCAAGGAAAGAGCTGGAAGAACAGCCCTAGACTCGCTTTTGCTCAGGTATGAAGCAGCCATGGTGAAAATCAGGGAAGGAGAGAGAAGGTCTAAAAAGTACACCTGGGCCGGGCGTGGTGGCTCACGCCTGTAATCCCAGCACTTTGGGAGGCCGATGGGCAGATCAAGAGGTCAAGAGATCAAGATCATCCTGGCCAACATGGTAAAACCCTGTCTCTACTAAAAATACAAAAATTAGATGGGTGTGGTGGTGCACGCCCGTAGTCCCAGCTACTGGGGAGGATGAAGCAGGGGAATCGCTTGAACTGGAGATGCGGAGGTTGCCATGAGTTGAGATTGTGCCACTGCACTCCAGCCTGGGTGACTGAGGGAGACTCCATTTCAAAAAACAAAACAAAAAAAGTACACCTAGGTGCCCCTGGGGGTTTTCCCCTTCATTCATACAGAGATGAATGAGTGAATACAATGTGAGCAGAACCTTTCTTCCAGAACACATCCATGGTGCTCTGTATCTCATGAACTATAACGAGATGCAGAAGAATCCGCCATTAGGAACCCGCACAGAGCACAAAGTCACTCACCGTCTCAACAGCTCTTCATCACTGCTGCTACTCTTTTCATGACACTCCTTTTTGTCCATCTGTCAAATGTTGTATTTATCTCTTTACTGTATCTTTTTCACCCTGAAAAAATTAAAAGAGGTTGTATTTAGGTACATGGGAAGAACCGTCAGAAAAATCTTAGCTTCCGTGTCTCTAAAAGGTTGACAAAAGCACTTATTGCTCATTC